GGTCGAAAATCGATTATTTACTTACTAAAAATCGATTAGAATTTTATTCAGATCAGTGGTTCGAAGTCAGTACCATTTAATCGATTATTTATATTGTAAAAATCGATTATTATGAATTAATTGATTATTTAAATTGTAAAAATCGATTATTATGAATTAATTGATTATTTAAATTGTAAAAATCGATTATTATGAATTAATTGATTATTTAAATTGTAAAAATGGATTATTATGAATTAATGGATTATTTAAATTGTAAAAATCAATTATTATGAATTAATTGATTATTTAAATTGTAAAAATTGATTATTATGAATTAATTGATTATTTAAATTGTAAAAATCGATTATTATGAATTAATGGATTATTTAAATTGTAAAAATCGATTATTGTAAATTTATGGATTATTTAAATTGTAAAAATCGATTTTTTATTAATTAATCGATTATTTATAGTGGAAAAATCAATTATAATGAATTTATTGATTATTTAAATTGTAAAAATCGATTATAATGAATTAATTGATTATTTAAATTGTAAAAATAAATTATTATGAATTAATGGATTATATAAAATTATATAAATGAATTTTTATAAATTAATTGATTATTTTAAATTATTTTCCTCAATTCGAGATGAAAATGTTCCTGAAAATATGCTCTAAAATCCTATTTTCGATACCAACTAATTATGCACAATATAAATATGATTTTGTACAATAAAAATGATGTTTGTGACATATAAAAATTATGTGATGCATGACGGTAAGTTCGGGTGTTAACACTCGAGACTAGGCCGCTATTTGTTATTATGCATTATGACGATTGTTTGATTATTGATTATAATGAATTAATGATGATGAACGTTTTGAATGATGATCATGAATTGTTAAAGTGAAAATAATGAATTAATGAATCATATTCTTAAGGATATCTAGAACAACTCTAAGATATACCCACTTGTATATTGATGATGATTATTAAGGATATCTAGAAGAAGTCTAAGATATACCTACTTGACCAATTCATATTTCGGGTTAAAACGTACGTACGGGATCCAGACCGGATATCACCCACCCGACAAATCATTGTTCGGTTGGTACGTAATCCACATGACTCATAGGGTAGATTACCGATTCTTGTGTTCTGCATTAAACTATTTATAGTTTAAGGGCCTGGTTAGAATTACTGCCTTAGACTAGGAATAGCTAAGAGCTGAATATAAAATGATGTGGCCTAAGAATAATTTAAGAGCATTATTGATATATTGAATATGAAATGACTTGGAATAAAATATTGAAAATATTATGAATGTTTGAACCATATATTGTGTGCATGATATCAAATGGTTGATTATGAATTGAGATTCAATTTATGTGGATGTTCGACGCTTTAGATATGCTTACTCAACTTCACCGCTGAGCGTGTAGTGTGTTTTATTTGCTACACGCAGGTAAACAGAAAGATTAATGTGATCCTAGCGGCAGATGGGGCGAGATTGTCAGGATGGATGTGACAAGTTTTGAAATAATTTATGATATGTCAATATTCAATTCGCTTCCGCAATATTGTTAATACTCCGTACTGTTTATGTTATGAAAAATATTATTGGGATTAATAAAGTGTGTTTGAAAAGTTTTAAATTTTACGATTACCAAGTTTTAAATTTTACGATTACCAAGTCCGAATGGGGCTGCAGACCTGGACGGATTAGGGTGTTACAGTTTGGTATCGGAGCAAATGGTTTTAAACACGATCTTCGGATCAATGTTTGATTTAAAAAAAAAAATATTATATATTTTGGGTAAAAAAAATATTGTCAATCACATCCACGACTCTCGCGTCCCTCTGCTCCAGGAAAAAGGTATGAGAATTTATTTGGTAAATAATGACTCTATTAAGAATTCTCATTAAATAACAATTAATTAGTACTGAAACCGTATCGAGCGTAGACTCTAGTTGAACTTTTGTACTCGGTGAAGAGACGAAAGAATAAACGATATGTTTATAATCTCCTGATACGTTATCAACGTACATTTCGCATCGCAAATGACGAAACTGATCTACATCGCAAAATTGTACGAAAGTGAGACGACTATGAAGAAACGATAAATGTTGAGAAACATCTGTGAAGCTGATGTCAAAGATCCTCATGTGGAATCAAGACAATCTAATCGCTGATTCAAACACGAACGTTTAGAATCAATAAACTTTGATATCTAAAGTATCTGATACTATTGTTTGACTCATTAAGACACATTATGCGATTACTTAATGTGAATCGAAATCATTCGTTAAGCGACAATTCTTTGTAAAACATCGTTGAAGTACCATACAAGGAAATCGACATTACCCTTAGTATGCATTAACTGACTGAACGTCGTTGCTGTTGTCAACTTGTAATTAAGAATTCCTCAACTGAAGACCAATGATGGTAACCTTATAGAGGTGAACGCAAAGCTGATTTCTGAACCGACCAAGTTCATCTCGAATATATATGCGAAAACATCTCAAGTGTGAATTCTATTCGTGCGATACCCAAAAAGAAATATCTGAACTGAAGGAACGTACTGAAAGTATGTCACCTCTCTGATATGAACTTCCTCATATCTCATCGTTCCAAGAAATTGAAAACTCTGTCAATCTTGATCCTCGAGAGGACCAATATTCGTAACTCTGTATTGAATATGTTTTCGTTAAAAAAAAAACTTAATTATGAAGATCGCCTGACAAAGAATCATCTGATAAAGTGTTTCCTCCTTAGGAGAATACCTGTTTTGTTTATACACGAATCAATGAGACTCTATATCAACTACTATCAGTTGAACAAATCGTTATCCTTTACTTCGTATCATGACTTATTTGATCAGCTTAGAGGATCCATTGTATTCTCTAAGATTGACTTACGGTCAAGATACTATCACATCCCTGTTAAGAATGATGAACGAACTGACGATCGGAAATTGCTACCCTTTACTACGTATAGATGATTTGTTTGAAGAACCTGTTTGTTAAAAGCTATAGACATCTCGAACATGTTGAATGAACTGATGCCTTGCTATGAAGCGACTAATGATTTAGTTGTTTATTGTCAA